GTCCCTGGAAAAACCCCCGGAGTTTATTATCATCATCATCATCATCATTAACAGCTGTTGTGAATTTTTTTTTTTTTTTGAAAAAATTGATTTTTCTTTCTTTTACTAACCGGCACAAACGTCGTACGTTTATATATCTATATGAAAATTGTTTCAAAACATTTTGTTTTAAAACACATTTTGTGAATATACGCTAAAAATTACCTCAGTTTCATTGACAATTTCAAGGTTGCTTCACTCAGTTTTTTTTTTTTTTATATATATTATTATTATTTTACTTTTTTTTCTGTTACTTTTTTTTTTTTGCTTTGCTTTTTTACACTTTATAATCATTATTATTAATTTTTAAATGCGATGAAGTTTATATTTGTGATTCGGTGCGGTATTAATATGTTTATCAATGAAAATGTTATTTATTTTACTATTAAATAATTATTTTAAGGGATTCAAATCCCATTTTTTTTATTTATTTAAAAAAAAAAAAAGTGTTTTACGCTCAATATAATTAATAATAATAATTGTTTTAAATAAAACAACGTAAAAGATGAATGGATTATCAGTTTACACGGTTTTTTATTTAAATGATAGTTTTTAATATATATATATAAATTATTAATATAATAAATGAATGGTTAAACCCGAGATGAAAACTGCATTTTTATTAATAATTTTATTAATTGCGGTTTTTATTAAAGCCGATGATAGCTTATTTCAACCAGAATCGATTGACAGTTTTGGTAAGCATTGTTTTCCCTTATTTATTAGCCTTATTTTTTTTTTTTGCCTCTTTTGTTTTTTTTTTTTTTTTACTTTAATGAATTGTTTTTTTTTTTTTTTTTTTTTTTGTTGTTTTGTCTTTTATTGTTTGCGAACGTAATTAATTTTGCTTTTTTTTTTTTTTTTTTTTAAAATACTAATAAGGAAGTTGTAATTGATGAGGGTCTTTTATATACCCTGGGAAATTGCACTCTGCAGCTGGGGAAAATAAATTTGATGATGTCGTGTGTAGAACAAAAAAATTTTTTTTTTTTTCGTTTAAGAATCACATCAACCACCGAATAATAATAATGATTTAAATTTTTTAATATTATTATTCAGTTTTTTTTTTTAATTGATAATTGTTTGATTGAGTAATATTTAATGGATTTTAAAAAAAATTTTTTTTTGTTATTTTTAATGAAGTCATTTTTATTCTTTATCGTTTGAATTTCGATTTCTTTGTTTTATGTTTTTTAATTCATGTTTGCGCATTGCAATGTTCGATTAAATTTCTTTTTTTTCTTTCCCATTTATTCAAACAAAGGTTTTTTTTAAAATGAGTAACCATTATGATTTCTCTTTAATAATGTTATGTTTTTTAACTAAGTTTATGTTTTTTTACTGTATGTTTTTTTTCCAAATGACTAAATCGAGAAGAAGGAATCGTTGCAAATTACATGAAAAATATAGTTTAAATTCAAACAAAGGACCTTTAACTTTTAACTTTGTTCATTTATGTGTTCGATTGAGATTTTTTATTGATTTTTTTTGTTTTGTTTTGTTTCTAAATTTAGTAGTTATATACTTTCTTTCTTTTTTTTTTTTTAAACAAATTGTAAAAAGAAAAGGATTACTCGCAATCGAAAAGGTTAATAAAGTAAATTTTTACCATACCAAACTATTCGAAATTGACAGTGGGTCATTTTATTTTTTCTCTCACAATCATAATTTATTTTTTTTTTTTTGCACATAATTTCCTTTCATTATGTCATTCCCAAAATACTTTAAGTGTAACTGATATGATAACTTATCAGTATAAATTCAAATATCGATAAAAATAATATTTATTTACTTTGTATTGTGCTGTGCGACACACACACACACATCCAGACAGACACACAAACTTTCACAATACAATTTTTATTTTTATTTTTTGAAAGGGAATCTTGACTGTTATATATTTATAATAAAAATAAAAATTTATTTTTAACTTGAATCCACAACATAAAACAAGTTATTTAATAGGCACACACACATATGTTTAAATCACCTGTCTACTACTACCTGTTTCCCTTTTTATTTACATTATGCTTCTTTTTTTTTTTTTTTTTGTCTTTCTTTTTTTTTAATTTACATTTCATACGTGAATAAATAATATAATATTTACATAAAAAAAAAAATGAAAAGGAAAAACATTTTATTTCAAACCGTTTCAATTATATGCTTGACATCCTGGTTACACTTGAAAGAATTACAAATCTAATATTAAATAATTATTTAAATACTAATGTATATACACTAAATAACCGTTAAAAAAAAAATAAATATAATTGAAAAATAAATGAACCACAAAGAAAAAAAAAAAAAAACAAAAAAAAGTAAGGATTTGAAATTTAAATTTATTATTCAGTATTATTATTATTATTATTATTATATTATGCAATCGTAACAAACAATTGGACAATTCCAAAAAAAGACGTTAATTATGAAAGAAATGTTTTTCTTTTTGAACTAAATATACATTTTAATAATGAATCGTTACTCTCATTAATTTATTATTACTCGGTAATAAAATTTTAATTATGATTGTTTCCCTTACGACTTTCGATACGATAATAATAATAAAAGTAATCGTTAAATAAATATTGAATAGTTTTTGGTATTTTTAAAAAAGAAAAATTTTTTTTATTTGATTAAAAACTCATACGTAAAATGCAAATAAAAACTTTTATACAATAAAAATTTTCGTTACACCAAAATAAGGCTAAAGGGAACCAAAACAAAAATGGCGGGGGAGGGAAGGGAACAAAACGATTTTAAACAAAGAAAATAATCAAAGACAAAAATAATTTTTTTTATATATATCTTTCAATTATTGCTTTGTTTCGTCACCCTCACATTCACTCTTTGCTTTCACACCCCCCCCAGTCGACCCCAACTGCTCCCCAGGTTTACAAAATGGTAAAATTTTGAATAAAATCCAAATTTGACTTATGTTTTGTGATGATTTTTCTATGGTTGAACTCACAATTTTTTTTTTTTTTAAATATTTGCGGTTTATTTTTTTTAAAAAAATTGTGACAAATTCTTGTTTCGATTGTTTAATAGAGTGATAAAAAATTTTACTGGAATTTTTACTGGAACGCTTCTGGAGTCACGATTTGAAAAAAGAAAATTTTCCTCGTTTTTTAAAAAATAAATAATTTTTATTTTCGATTTCGTATAAGAGTTTCTTTTATCATTATTTTCTTCGTTTCTTTTAAAGTCGTAAATTATTATTATTATTATTACATTCGATGATCTCAACAAACGGATATTCGGTTGAAAATTTTCACACCGGTAAAAAACAAAAAAAAAAACCCTATTCAACAAGGTTAGTCATTATTATTATTATTATTAAATTGCTACTCGAAACATGGAAAAAAGAAAAAAAAATGATGACTGTAACGTTTTTGTACTCTTCTTTTTCTTTATTATTATTATTATTTATTCCAAATAAGGAGAAAGTTTACCTACTAATTAAAGTTTCATTATAAGGTAGCAATTATTTAATTGTTTAAAAACAAACAAACAAACGCGTTGTTGATTGCATATACGAAATCCAGTAACGTTGAAAAAAAAAAAAATAGTAAAAAGTTATCTAATTTTTTTTTTGTCTATAAATAGAACTCGAGTTATTTTTATCGATTAAAATAATTAACGGGTGGGAATTTTATTAATCACTCCTTATTTACACAACTCCTACAAACGCATACACGCGCACTCACGCACTCACACACACACAAGAAAATATGCAAAAGGGCCATGAGAAGTTCCTTCCCCCTTAAACGGATTTAAGAGAAAATTTGGAAGAAATTTCTCGAATTGCAATTTTTTAAACAAAAATTTCTTCTGCTGTCGTACCGAATGGGGTGGGTTGGGTGGGGGTGGAGGAAGTGGTGGGGTAGGGGGAGGTAAAAAGAACAATTAATTTAACCGTTTTAGTAGTCTTTATTTGGCAAGAAAAGTAAAAAAATAAATTATTTTTTTTAAAAGGTTTTAATTAGTATTAAGTAAGTGATTGCTTGCTTGCTTTTAAAAAAAAAAGTAGTTATGATGATGATGATGATGATAATAATAGGTGTTAAGACCCCTCGTTTTGTATTATTATTATTATTATTATTTTTTATTTTTTCCCACATATTTAATAACGATGAATTTTTTTTTGTTTTGTTTTTTTTTATTTTTCTGTAAGTTTAAATAAAATTTAATTTAATTTTTTTTTTCTCAGAAATCGAGTTACTTACGGTCCTGTCCATGACCAGACAATGTAATAATAATAATAACTAACGATTACAATCTCGCAGTCAAAGGTTTTGTTTGTTGGTTTATTATCATTATTATTATTATTATTTACGTAATATATATTTATATATTTTACTAAAAATGGTAAAATTTTTTAGAAATTGTTTGTTGTTGAAGGTTTTCTTTTGCGGTTGTCGAAGAGACTTTTTACTCTATGATTTTATTTTTTTTATTCAGCCATAATCGAAACATGAAAAAGGAAGACGACGAAAAGTCGCAGGAAAAAAATCAATTTAAATCGTTTCGATCGATTCGATATAAAAATGAAAGTTATCGGGAGGGCGAGGGGGCGAGGGGGGTGGTAGACTCTCGTTCGAGAGTTATACATTTATATACTCTATGGTAACGTAACGTAACGTTAATAATACTTTTATTATTAGTTTTTTCATCCGACGACTACTTTTTTTTTTTTTTTTATTACGGTTTGGTTTTCATTCGATCAACAAGAACGAAAGGAAATAATTTTTACTGCATCGTTTGTTCATCCATTTTCAGTAAAAAAAAAAAAAAAAAAAATGAGAAAGAAAGAGAAAGAAAGAAAAAAAACTGGAGATTTCCAGATGACTTTTATTGTTATTTAAGAGTTTTTATGTTCATCTAAAGAAAAAATAGAGTGTCTGAAGAAGAATAGTGAGAGACTTCAAAGTGTTGAGTTATTTATTTATTTATACATTTGAATGATTTTTGTTTTGTTTTGCTTTTGTTTTCCAGAGCCTAGCAAGCCTTTGAATCTGACAGTCATCAGAGCGACATCGACGACTATCGAATTATCTTGGGCGAAACCAGAACACGAAAATGGAGACATCAAAGGTTATAGAATATATTTCATGCATGGAAATTATACGGATGTTCGTACGACGTCGACACCAGTTTTGGCTCACACGCTTGATACTCTAAGTAAGTGTATTAGAATATTGGTAAAAGTGTCTTTACTGTCATACCTGTCTCATACCTGTACTTGTCCTCGTCGTCGCCATCGTCGCCGTATGGATGGTATCGTTTTATGAGGCATTTATCAAATTGTGCATTTCCGCTAATTTCATTTAATCTATCTCTCTTTCTTTTCTATACCCTTTGAGTTTTCTTTCTCTTTTCAACACTCGATCGAGCGATAATGCGTCCATGTTTTTTGTTCTTCTGTCACCCACCATCGATTGTTTCTTATACGGGTCAAGTTTTTCTTTTTTTAAAATTTTATTGGTGGTGTTTTCGTTTGTTTGAGTTTATTAAATTATTTTTAGGTTTTTTTCTTTTTTTTTTAAAATGGTGGCTTTTAAGGTTCGGAAGGTATTTTGATAAAAGGCGAACAAACGAGTCGTTAAAATAACGGTTTTTTTTTTTTTTTTTAAATCTCGCCGAATGCATGAATTTGTTTTGCGTTCGTTCGTAGTAAAAGGGGAAAAAAAAAAGTATAAAATTTTTTTGTTTGAATCACGTTTGCATAAGCAGTGGCGTAGGTAATGATTATATCATGATTTATTAATACGTGAGTGGATTTGTTCGTGTGTGTGTGTGTGTGTGGAAAAACCTCGAAGGGTTTTGCGGGAATCTTTTTTAAAAAAAAAAAAAAAAAAATTTATATATATGTAAAATTATTAATTAAAAAAATATTTATTCACGAATAATGGTCGTCGTTGTCGTCGCCGCCATTAAAAAATTGTTTCATACTCTCAACTTTGCAAACTTTATACAATTTCAACCGGTTTTCCACGGGTGAAATTTAAATTTACTACCTTCCAGCGACTTTTTTTTGCCTTGCCTTGCCCTTGCCATTGTATAATTATACAAACAACGTTTCTCCGATGCCACGTCTTTTGAAAAAGATGATGAAGGGTAACAAGAGAGAGATAGAGAGAGAGAGAGAAAAAAACCGCCCAAAGAAAATTTCCAGACGTCTTATTATAAATCCGATGTAAACTTTCTATTTTTTTTTCGATTGTAGTTTCATTTTTTTTCGCCTTTAAAACGTTCCGTCCTTTTTTTTTTTTTTTTTATCGGTTTACTTTATTTTTATTTTACGCGGCTAGCTAGCTACGTCGTTTTCCCTCGCGGCCATTGCAAAAAAAAAAAAAAAAAAAAAAAAAAACTTGGGCGAAACCTACAAACGCAGGTAATTTGTTGTAACAAACGAACGTTTCGTAACGTTTTCCGTTTTTACGCCACGTTTGTAATTTTTTTTTTTTTTGCGAATCGTGAGGTGTCGTCGAAAAGAAACGAGAAATTAATAATAATAATAATAATAGAAAATTGTGTTCGGAATAAGAATTTTAAAAATGAAAGAGATAGAACAACAACAACAACAACAAAATCAAATTTTTTCAAACAAACGACAATTTTTTTATTGTTTTAAATGTTTGATCGAATTGTCATATCGCGATAATACAAATTTTAATGTAATTCTATTTTTTTTTTTTTTTTTTATTGTTTTTTGTTTCGAAAATTTCGAATTCGAAATCGATTGGAAATATTGAAATGTGTGATATAGAAAGAGACAGCCTTGAAAAGGAAAATTGAAAAATCGATTCCGTTCGCGGTGAAATTTTTTTTTTTTTAAGTATCATTTTTAAAAAAAAAAAAATGAAAATTTTTTATTGCGCGTAAATTTTAATTAATCGTTTAACTCGAATTTTTTTTTTTTTTTAATTGACGTAAATTATGAAATTTTTAATGTCGTTGAGGTTTTTTTTTTTTTTTTCTTCATAAAATTGTAGCACCGTCATTGTTGTCGTTGTCATAACATCCGACAAACGGTTTGAACCTAACAACTCTTGCTTCCACTTTCTAAAATTTTTAAACCCGTACTCCTCGTATTTAATTTCAAGTATAAAATTATTATTATTATTATTATTATCAGCAAATTAAAAAAAAAAAAATGGAAAAATGGGTATCTGTCTTCGAGTAGCATCTTTTTTTTTTTAACATTCGAAGGTCCCCCTTTTTTTTTAACGTTTTTCTTTCGTCTCTTTCCGTTTTATTTCGTTTTTTTTTTTTTGTGTGACCGTTATTACTATCATTATTATTATTATTGTTGTTGTTGTTGTTGTTCGCGTGGTCGAGTTATATTATTATTACACAGTTTTAAATAATTTTCCTTTTTTTTTTTTTTACTATTATTATTTCGGATAGTAGGCAGTCAGGCAGGTGAAGGATAAAATGCGTGATTCGTGTGTGAAAATGTTGTTGTTGTTGTCTAGTTGCACGTTTGTTACGTTTACTTGCAAAAGATGCATATATGTGTAAAGAAATGCAAAAAAAAAAAAAAATCTCCGTTCTCGTTTTCTAACAACAACAACAACGTGTTATTTCGTTTTCTTTGAGTCTTGAATTAAGGTTGAGAGAGTTTTATTATGTATCAAGCAGGTACGAAACGGTTAAAAAAAAAAAAATTTTTTTTTTTTATTATATGTATACATATATATATTTTGCGATGCATTATTATTATTATTATTATTATTATTATTATTGTGAGTTGGGTCAAAGAAGGAGGAGGAAGAAAATATTTAAAATAAATTTTCGTAACTCCGAGACGGCGTTCATTTGATTGTTCAGCGACTCCTACTCGCTGCTGCCACCGCCGCCCCCCTCAGTGTAAATTTTTACGGGTTTGACGTTTTTCTCACTTTTTTTTGTTTTGTGTTGACGGTTTGACGTTTATAAAATTTTGTAAAGGGCAAAAAAGTTATGAAATTTTCGTCCAATAAAAAAGAGAGAGAGAGAGAGAAAATCTCGTTTCCCTTCCCCTCCCCCTCTTCTTCCCGAATTTTGTCAAAATGTTTTCTTCGTGGTCGATGGGTTGCGTTGCGTTCGGGGTCAATATCATCTCAAAAACATTTCACCGCCTGCTGTCAATGAAAAACAACGTCTTTTACTAATTATCAAATTTGATGAAAATGATGTTGGAAAATGGAAAATTTTGAAAGTTTTCTGTTAAAAACTCTCTCTCTCTCTCTCTCTTTCTCTTTCTCGAAAGTATTATTTAAAAGTCGGGGGGGGGGGAATCTTGCGAAATCCTTTCCAGAAATATACTTCTCGGTTTTTGTGTACAATCAAACCGAAACTCTAAACCGATAAATGTTTTTTCCTCATTATTATTATTATTATTATTATTATTATCGTCGTTGTTTTTTTTTCCAGTCGCATTAAAAAAACATTTGAATTGACACGGAATCGCGTCTTTTCTCTCTCTCTCTAATACTCGTTACTGGAACATTCGCGTGTCGTTCGCGTATAGACGCGATTAAATGTCAAGTTCAAGTTTTCCCTCCCCTCCCTTTCCACCCCCTCCAATACTCTCGATACCTGGCGAGAAATACACCTGGTTTTTAGTTTTTTTATTAAATGACTCAACTTTGAAAATTGCACTTTTGATTATTAAATATTTCCTTTTAGAAATTTTATTATAACGAAAGGAGGCGAATCGATCGTTAATTTGCCGAAACATCAATTTTATTATTATTATTATTATTGTTATTATTATTATTATAACAATTATCATTATCGATAACGATTTAGAAATTTTGTTTTTTAATATAAAAAATTACATGACGGTCGATTTTTTCAGTCATACTAATAATAATATTAATGGTGATGATGATGATTATTGTGTTTATAACACGAAATGAAAAATTTATAATGCATGAATGAGAGTCTCCGGGATTCTATTAAAAATCGTGACTAAATTTTATATATATATATTATTAATTTTCTCTGTTCAAATTGTTTGCATTCGCACCTGAACCTGAAAGGAAAACAAAATGGCGTGAAAAAAAAAACACTTGTTCGGAGAAAGTAAGACTTTAAGATGAAATCCGTTGGATTTCAAACAAGATGGGTTTTCTTTATTTAAATTATCAAAGGCTAAAGGTTCGAACGGTGCGTGCATACGCGTGTGCGTGTGGGAAAAAGGTTGTTTCGGTAGTATCGAATTTAAACAATCGTGAAAAATGCGTGAGTGAGGGAATGCGTGAGTGCGTGAGCGAGCGTTTATTTAACTTGCAACGGTTTTTTTTTTTTTTTTTGGCAAATCGTTTGTTGCGTACGTAATAAACCTAATTTCCCGATTTGTGAAAACCTTACTTACGACGTGGTAGGTACGCGATGCGGGTACCTCATTTTTTTTTTTTTTAATATTCCAAGAACGAAATTCGTACGGAAAAAAAAAAGAAAAATTTTAATATTATTATTATTATTATAAATTTTTCGGATGATTAACTGACCCGTTAACCTGTTTACTACCGACCGAAACATCATCGTTATAATTTTTTTTTTTTTTTTTTTAAATTGAACATGCGGTTGTGTGATACTTTCCCAAAAAAAAAAAAAAAAAAAAAGGCGGGAAAGATAGAGAAAGAGAGAGGGAGAGGGAGAAGGGTGTAGAAGAGAGACAAATAATTTTTTTTTCGTCGATATTAAAATTAATCGCGAAACGTTTTTCCTGTTTTCTGAATTCTTACCTGATTAAAAACTGATTAAAGAAAAATGGACGATAAGATTATTTAAAATTCCCTGTTGCATAACAACCTGAATTTTTGCAACAACAACAACAACAACAACCACAACTACAACAACAATAACAACAACAACAACAACAATAAAAACTCGTTTGGTTTTGACGTTTGAAAGATTTGTTGGCGATTTTACCTATAAAAAAAAAAAAAAAAAAAATTTATAGTTTGAAATGACGTGTAAATATATATAAATATTAACGATCGTTAAAAAAAAAATCGTTGTACCTGGATTTACCTGAAAAATATGAAAAATGGATAAATATGATGATGATGATGATGATGATGGGTTTCGTTTTGCGTGTGCATATCCGGATATTTTTTGTCGACTCGTGAAATTTTAATAATATTCGTTTTTTGTTTCAATATTAAAAACTCGTTTTTCCTTGTACCTTAAATTTATTAATTTAAAACGGAAAGTAAAAGGCATCGAATACTCCCTAAATTTTCGCGGGAAGAGGGGAGGGAGGGGGCACGGGCCCACGATTCGAGAATTTCCGTTTGTTTGTCCATGGTTCCGAATAATAAATGTTTCTTATTTTCGGTTTCGAAAATAACAAAAAAGGGGGGGGTTTTCTTGTTTTATTATTAGTTTCTCTTAGCAGGTGTTTTTGTTAATAGGTAATGGTGGTAGTGGGGAGGGGAGAGGAAAAGGGAAATCGATCGTTCAGATAAAAACGTCCGAATGTTATTATATTAACGGTTTTTCGTCGATGATTCCACGTAACAAACAGACACATATATTGTTTCATACAATCGATCGAACAATGGAATACGCGATTGCAATTATTGCATATTAATAATAATAATAATGATAATAATAATAATGATAATAATAATAATTTTACGATTCCGTTTTTAATAATGATGATAAAAAAAATTCATTCAACGATTCGAAACGATAGAATAATGATGGGTAACAAAAAAAAAAAACTCATTTTTATTTTTGTTTGTTTTTCTTCTTTTTTTTTTCCAGGACCGTATACGGAATATAAAATTTGGGTGAAAGCATACACGTGGAAAAATGAAGGACTTCAATCGGATTCGGTCAGGTACAGGACGGATGTTGGGGGTCCGAGCGCTCCGACAATAACAAATTTAACGTGCCAAAGCAACAACACGTTGTTCGTTGAATGGAAAAGGCCCAAACCGGCCGATTATTACATATCGGTCGATCAATATTTTATTTTGTACAGGAATTACGATTCGAGCGAATTCGAAGAAAAATCCGTTACTCCAGCGGAATCATTGGGAAATAACACGGGATTGGTTAGTCGTTTTATATATATATATCTTCCTGCAGGAGAGAATTTTTCAAATAAAAATATCCTTTCATCTTTGATTTATTTTTGTAAATTATAAAAAAAACATTCGTACGCGGGAGAACCTTTTAATTTATTATTATTATCATTATTATTATTTTGTTTTTTTTTTATACAGTTTCAAACGTTGTTAACGAATTTGACGTCGGATACTTTGTACGAGATCCAAGTTCAAGCAGGGACAAAGAGTATTTACTACGATAAAGAATTGATCAGAGGTTCGTTATCCGGAACGAGAAGAATATTTGTAAAAACAGAATGTGACAAATATACGCCCCTACTGAGTCAAGTCTCGAACGAATTGAGTGCGGGAATGATAGCAGGTCTCATATGCGTCGTGGCTGCATTATTGGTTGCTTTGTCCGTTCTTGTCGTTTGGAAGTCAGTAGTAGTAATGAAAACAAAAGAAAAATCCCTTGGGCTAACCGAAACGTCGATACATGTATTGAAAAAATTTTTTTTCAGAAAATGTTTTAAAGCGAGTTATTATTATTTGGACGATCCGACATCCATGTCCGTGCCTACAGCTTGCGATTGGGACCAGCACAAGGAAAACGGTGTCAATACTGCCATTCCGATTCATTTATTTGCTAAACACGTGGCTAGTCTTCATTCGGATGGAGACATCGGGTTCAGTAAGGAATACGAAACTATACAGAACTCGCCGACGGAAGGTCACACCGTAATTAATTCTCAATTACCGGACAACAAAATGAAAAATCGTTATTTGAACATTTTAGCATGTGAGTGAGAGAGAGAGAGAGAGAGAGAGAGAAATAAAATATTTATACTTATGTACATAAATTAATAAAAAATTATATTGATTTTTTTTTGTTGTTGGTTATAATTTTCAGACGATCACACGAGAGTTCATTTGCTCCCGCTTCCAGGTCAGAAAAAATCAACGGAATATCTCAATGCCAATTATATCGACGGATTTCAAAGATCTCGAGCCTATATTGGAACTCAAGGTCCTCTTCCGGCAACATTCAATTGTTTTTGGCGTATGGTTTGGGAACAAAGAGTCGGAATTATCGTCATGATAACGAATCTCATAGAAAGAGGCCGAGTAAGTAATGTCTGTGTTGCGGGGGGGTGGTGTGGTAGACGGGAAGAGGGTAGTCATTTACGATTATCTTTACGTGATTTACAGAGAAAATGCGACATGTATTGGCCGAAAGAAGGAACCGAAGTTTATGGCGTGATAAGTGTCACGATGGTTCGAGAGGACATAATGGCAACGTATACGATTCGAACGTTTCAAATACGTCATCTTAGAGTGAGAATCATTTTTTTAAAAAAAGGAAAAAAAGGACGGGGAGGTTCAATCAATTTAAGTTTCGATTTTAAAAAAAAATTACAGATTAAGAAAAAAAAGGGTAACGTTCAGGAGAGGACAGTTCTTCAATATCATTATACGAATTGGCCCGATCACGGTACTCCTGATCATCCCCTTCCGATTTTGCGTTTCGTGAGCAAATCTTCGGCAGCTAATCCGCCCGATGCTGGACCGATAATCGTTCATTGCAGTGCCGGAGTCGGGAGAACGGGTGCTTATATCGTCCTAGATGCCATGCTCAAACAAATAAGAGCTAAGGGAGAAGTCAACATATACGGATTTCTTCGGCACATACGAACGCAACGTAATTTTCTAGTCCAAACAGAAGAACAGTATGTGTTCATACACGACGCATTGGTCGAAGCAATCGAAAGTGGAGAAACAAATATACACCAAGGGTATTTGTCGCGGTATCTATCGACGATGGTAGCGAATCCTCAATGCGACAAATCATTGCCGGGTATCGTTCTCGACAATCAATACAAGGTAGGTCATATGTACAGGTTTTGTTCTCTCTCGAGGTTTGTAATTGGTTATTTTGCGTGAGGGTTAAAATTTGCTCTTGAATCGCTTTTTTTTTATCAGTTGGTCACTTCCTTCCGAGCCGAAGATTATAATACAATATCAGCTCGGAAACCAGTCAATATAAATAAGAATAGAAATAACGACATTGTACCCATGGAATGTTTTCGAGTTCATTTGACTCCGAAACCTGGAGTAGATGGAAGCGATTACATAAATGCAACTTGGCTCATCGGATATCATAAAATGAGAGAATTCATAATCACGCAAACGCCATTAGAAAACACAATAATGGATTTTTGGCAAATGGTTTGGGACCACAGCGCACAAACTGTCGTTCTTCTAACCAGCACGGAAAGTCAAGTATGTCGTTTAAGTTTTTTCTTTTTTTTATTAATTTTTTGTACCTTTTTGATAACAAAAAGGAAACATTATTAATTTTAACGTAACGAACAGGATTTGAATATATTTTGGCCGACGGATCAAAACCTTTTAGAGGGTGAAAATTACAAAGTGAAACTCGTGGTCGAAAGCGAACAAAATGGCTGCACGACGAAAGATTTCGCATTACAATCCGCTCAAGACGATTACGATTTACCGGTTAGAATATTTCATTTTCCATCTTGGCCTCATTCTTGTTCTCCGCTTCACAAAGTTTTCGATCTAATAAAAAAAGTACAAGAGTGGAATAAGGAAACGCAACACGGTCCCGTCATCGTCGTCGACAGGTAGGATGAAATGCCCTGCGAAAGTCCTTTTTGCTATTGAAATTTTTTTTTTTTTTTATACTGGAACATTGGTAACGAGAAAAGAATTTGATTTTTCAGGTACGGAGGTACGGAAGCAGCAACTTTTTGCTTGCTCACGTCTGCTTGCAAACAGTTAACTCACGAAAGCCACGTTGATATATACATGTTTGCAAAACTCTATCACATGAGACGTTTAGGAATTTGGTCTGCTGTGGTAAGTCGGTTTGAATTTTTCTTAAAGCGAACGAGAGAAAAACCAAACAGACGTTCCCGTGTCGTGTCGTGTCATTAACATTTTTTTTTTTTTTTTAACTCACTAGAACGATTATCTATACCTGTACGAAGCCATCGAAGCTCTTGCCAATTCGTCCGGATTCACGTCTGCGGGAGCCGTGACTCCCACGCCGATAGGTTTGGGTCCGACTCCCGACATATATATATCATCGAACGGTCACATAAACGGATACGTTCGATTCGAAAGCGACAACAACATCAACGAGGGAACAATGATCGGAAGCGGAAACGAAAACGGATTTGCTTGCATGGGAGTAGGAGGAGGAGGTGGTGGCGGTGGCGGTGGCGGTTTAGAACGCAACGAAAATCCGACGTTGGGTCTTCAGGGAAACGGAACCATTCCTAACATGAATAACGTTGTTCCAATGGATGACAATTTAAGTTCTCATTAGCAGAAATATTTATTTATTTAATCGATGAACAATTTATTTTATTAATAATAATAATGATAATAATAATAATAATAATAATAAAAGACTTAAATACTTTTAAAAAAAAAAAAAAATATTATAACGGATACAATAAGTGATGATTGATTGTGATTCGATACCAAAAAAAAAAAAAAAAAAGTTTCGGAAAAATGAATTATTTATATATTTATTTATCATGTAGAACGTGCGTATTCATCACACGAACGTTTCGTTACGAACGGGAAGAAAAAATTTTTTTTTTTTTTCTTTTACTTCGGTTGACGAAAAATGATTTTTCTTTTATTTTTTTTAAAATTATTTTTTTTTTTTTTTTTTGTCATTGACAACGCACACGAATTATTATTATTATTATTATTATTATTATTATTATTATTATTTTACGTTTTTTAAATTACAAAATTCGGAGGAGTTAATGAGAAAAGGGGGAAGATGGGGGAGAAAAAAAAGGGAAAGGCGGGGGGAAAGAAAAGAAAAAAGAAAATTTATTTATTTATTTATTTATTTATTTTTTGTAATTTTAAAATAATAATTATAATCATCATCATCATCATCATCAACGAATCAACGAATCAAATTTATCGGGGGTGTAAATGAAAAAAAAAAAAAAAAAAAATTCGATATATCGATTTATTTAATCGAACGAAATCGTGACGTAATTCGTAAAGCGTATTTTTAATTGAAAATATGCAGCATATAAGAAAGTTTTCCTTTTTTTTTTTTTTTACGTTCTCTCTCTTTCTCACTCTCTCTATCTATCTCTCATTTAAAATTTAAAAACGTTTTGTAAATAGGGTATATGAATTTTCTTTTTTTTTTTTTGAATGAAAAGAAAAATTTATCGATAATTATATGACGTCATTGTAGTTTTTATAAAAAAAAAAAAAAAAAAAAAAAAATTAAAAAAAAAAAAAATATGAAAAACAACAAACTCGAACGGTAAACTCTTATGATAAATCATCATCATCATCATCATCACCATCGTCATCTATACATCTATACAAATGCATAAATTTACTATTATTATTATTATTGTAAGAAGCAGACGACACGTTAAAAAAAAAAATCGAAAGGGAAAGATGATGGGGGGATGGGTGGGTTCGTAAAAGAAAAAAATTTTCTTTTTTTGTTTCATTGCGTTTTTCTTCTGCTTCAATTAATTAGCATCATATTTATGAGTGGGCCATTTTTTTTTATACACAATTTTCTAGTATTATTATTATTATTGACGAATAATCAGTCTGATCAATGTTTTTTTCTGTTTTTTATCAATTCGAATCCGATAAAATCGTTGTTGTTGTTGTCGTTTGTTTGTTTAAGATAATCGTTAGATTAAATTAATCTAAGATAACGGAAAAGAGGAAATAGAAATGATAATAATAATAATAATAATTTGAAATAAATCAAAATGGAAAAGGTCCTTCCTTTCAAACGTTTTTTTTTTATAATGCATTTAAGTATTAGGGCATTCCCCATTGGATAATTTAATAATAATAATAATAAAAACATTCTCTCGTCCTTAATATTTATATTATTATTATTATTATAAGGAAAATTTTTTTTCAAGACTGTTTCGAAAGCATTTAAAAAATTTTTTTTTTTTTATACATTCTTATTTTCGATAAATAATAATAATAATAATAACGTGTGAAAAATATCGTTTTTTGTAGTTCAATTTTCTTTTTTTTTTTCTTAAACGAATTATTAATTGATTGTAAAAAAAAAAGAAAATTGTACAACCTGTTTTATAAACTGGGAAATCCCTCTTGCCCCGCCCCCTCTTCTCTTTTCCCTCCCTTCCTCCTCCCCCTTCTCCCTCCCCCCCCTCGAATAAATAAAAATAATCGATGCCAAAATATGAAGTGTAAAAAGAAAATTTTTTAAAAGCACTTTAAAAATTTATTGTAAATAATAAAAGTTTTTTTTTCAATAAATAAATAAACGCACGCGCACGAGAGCACGCAAAAATAAATTTTTTTTATATATGTAAATAATATAAATATTGATGATAATAATAATAATATTTAAAATCGCACATACGAAAAAATTTTCCAGTTTGTTATAAAACAGGTTTTTTTTTCTTTAAGTATGTATATATAAGCACGATATGATTTTCCCGCGCTTTTTTTTGTTTGTTTACAAACATTTAAACGTCGTCGTCGTCGTTGTTGTCGTCATCGGTGACGTCGACGGCATCCATTTTGTATTTCGCTATAAAAGATGGCGTGAAATTTGTCGTGTTTTTTTTTCTTTTTTTGTTTATTATTATAATTTTTCCGTAAGAAAATATTTATTTGATTGCATTTTAAAATTCATTCCAAAATAAAAAAAATAAAAATGTGTATACGTAGTAGTGATTGATTGATTGATTGATGATAATGATGATTTTTTCAATTTTGATTAAAAAAATTTTTTTTTTTTTTTAAAAAGTGACGAATCTTGCCATTTTCTTTTTCGTTTTTTTTTTTTCGATAAATAAATTTATCATTATTATTATTTAAAAAAATTAAAAATTTTTATTTTATGGTGTTATAGAGTTTGTTTGTGTTTATTAATAATAATAATAATGATAATGATAATGATAATGATAATGATAATGATAGTAAAAAAAAAAAAAAATTATAAAAGTGTTATTAGATTCGCTCCGTCGATATTTTTCTGTAAAAAAAAAAAAAATTAAAATTAAAATTTTTATTAAAAGTGCATTCGACACAACGTCCGAAATAATAATAATAATAATAATAATAATAATAATAATAATAATAATAATAATAATGATAATAACGATAATAATGGTAAAATTATTATTTAAAAAATAAATTATTATTATTAATATTATTATTTTAAATAATTATTTCCCGGTTGAATAGCTTAATTAATTAATTATTATTTTCTTTTTTATTTATTTATTAATTTTTTTTTGTATGTTTGTTTGTTTAAATTATTATGATTATTATCATTGTGTAATAAAAAAAAAGGAAAAAAAAGAAAAAAAAAATTTTTTTTTTTTTTCTGTTGCTTGTCGATTTTGCTTTTCTAGACTGACTTGATAAAAAAAAAAAAAAAGAAAAAAAAAATCATTCTTATGTGAATGACTAATAAATAATAAATAAATAATTTTAAAAAAAAATATATAAAAAAATAAATAAATAAAAAGTTTTAATTTTTTTTTATTTATTATTAATTATTATTATTATCAAATAATCCGTTGATAACACTCTCTCTCTCTCTTATCAATTTTACAAATGATAGATAATTGCTAATTACTTGGACAGGAAAATTTTTTTTTTAAATTTAATATTTGTGATGACGTCACAGTAATTGTTTAAATTTATTTAGGTGCTATGATAAACCATAGGAAGAAGAGATATTTATTTAATAATTTAATAAATAAATAAAGAATATCAAGAGGATAACATCAGAGAACTTGATCCTGGAGCAAATACTTTGGGAAAGAAGAAAATTTTGAGATGGCAGAAAAAACAAAATTAATGCATTTGGTACATCAGTAGTTCCTGTAATAGAATCAAGGTTTTGGCTTCGTGGATTGGACGACAGAAGAAATCACGCATTTGAACCTAAGAACAAGGAAAATTCTGGAAATGGTACGTTGCATTTGAAAGCTGATGTTCATAGACTGCCATTGTCGGGATTGAAAAGTACATGGAATCCCATCAACAGCATCCAACCTTAGGAGAAGGGAGGAGTTCTCAAAAAAGCGAGGACAATTGTAGAAGAAAGAAAACGAATTGGAAGAATGGCAGTTTACGACTTATGATAGCAAAGCCCAATCTCAAAAATAACTTAAGAGCGAGCATCTCCATTGGAATATCTGTTGTGAATATGGAATAGACGGAAAAGCCAAGAGATGGTACAACCACATTCCAAGCCCGGTTACGACAGAAGGGACCATAATATCAACAAATCCACATTGACAAAACTGTGCCAACCAACAAACCGGATATCATCCTGAGACATAATTCCGAAAAATAATGTAATATAATTGTGGAAGTATCCGTACTTCGAACACCAGACAGCCAAAGAAGCAGACAAAAGGCTGAAATACAGAAATTTGGAAATAATCGGGGAGCACTGGGAGCCAAGTCTCATTCAACAAAAAGAAATTCGAAGAAGATTTTGAAGAATTAAAAAGAAGAAACAATTCGGGAAATCGTGTCACGTGAGTATGCAACCCACATTCTTCGAAAGCAGCAGCACCAACGAAATTTCGAAATTAAAATAATAATAATAATAATAATAATAATAATAATAATAATAATAATAATTAATTTACATATAAAATTTCGGGTTGTTTTTTAAATACAAAACAAATTAACGATAATTATAAATAAAAAGGAAATTAAAATTAACGTAAATGAATTTACTTCCGGTAAATAAATTTTCCAATTATTTTTTTTTTTTTTCGCGGGTAAACACCGCGTAAATTTATTAAACTTATTTAATTTATTTATTAATTAAATTTTTAAATAAATAAAATATTCATATGCACATATATCGAGAACATTCTAGAAAAAACAACAGGTAAATTAAAAAAAAAAAAAGAAAAATTCCATCAACAATGACATAATGAAAAATCGCTAAGCAAACAGAAAGAAAAACAATTATAATAATTATTAATTGAACTATTTTATATCTATTTAACTTATTCATAAAATTAACTTTCTTATATTTCCCTTTTTTGATAACGACATAAGTAAAAAATTTTTTTTTTTTTTGTTAAAATATCAAATTCGAATCGAAAGTTTCATTTGCGCATGCGCGACGGCAGACATTTTGTTTCGCGTCAGCCGTTCGATAATTAACAATGCAACAACAGCATTTTTATTTTCATTTTTTTTTATTTTTATTTAATTGATTTAATTAATCGTTTTTATTTTTTGTGTTAATAATAATAAAATACATATATTTTAATAATCAATGATTGACGTGTTGAGAATTTACTTGGAAGATTTTTATTTATACACTTCGGGTGTAATTAAAATGAGGGTAATTATTATTATTATTATTATTATTAAAATTTATTTTAAAAAAAAACAAACAAACAAACATGGCGTCGTTATTTACATTTTTATTTTTTAACGGCGTTTTTTTTTTTTCTTTTTGAATTCGAATTATTATTTTTTCGTATTAAAATTTTATTTGACGTTAATGACGTGAATGATTTTCCGTTCCGGAAAACAATTTCCTCGTTTTTTTTTTTTTTGTTTTTAAAAGAAGGAAATTAAAAATTTTTTTAGACACGTTACGGAACGGCCATTGTTGTGTCTTCGGTTGTGTTTATTTTTCATTTAACTAAAATTTTTTTTTTTTTTTTTTTTGTAATTTATTATCATCATGTTATTATCGAATGATATAATTCGATTTAAACGTGTCATTAGAAGACGAATAATTTTTATATATTAAAACGTAATTTTGTTATGTAAAATTACGTTAATATTCAAATAAATAAAAATAACCGTTGACGGTTGACGGTTGCCGATTGAAAATCATCATCATTATGATTTTATATAAATTTCAGATGATTTAATTTTAATGAAAATAATTGTTTATATAAAAATATATTAAATTTGTATTCATTTAAGGACGTTCAACTTTCGATTTGAAAAAAATTTCGGTTATAAAAAAAAATAAAAAATTTGCTGATTAATCAAACGTCGACGGCCATTTTGCAAATCGAGTTAATTTTTTTTTTTTTTTTTGATGACTTTTTAAATTTTAATTTTTATTTATAACAAAAAAAAATTTGTCCTACTTTTTATTATTATTATTTCAAATATATATAATACACATATTGTTAAAAAAATGATGAGAGAAGAAAAAAGAAAAAACGTCGTGTCAATAAATTTTTTACGGTTTTTTTTTTTTGTGACACGTGATAGGAAGAAAAAATTTACGATAAGAAAAAAAATTCAAATTTTTTTGATTTACCTATTACGTAATTGAATTTTCGAGAGGTTTAATTATAAATTTTATTCGTGTATTACGTAAAAAAAAAAAAAAAATTCATAAATCTATTCAAATTTTAAAAGGAACGAGATGTAGAAAGTACGAATCGAACAACGAACAAACAAACAAACAAACAAACGAACGAACGTAACGAAAAATTTTAAAGTATAAAAGACGAATTCGAAAAGAAATAATAAAAAAAAAGTCTGTAAGTGATGAGAGTCGTCGTAACGAATTTTTAAGTATTAAAAACAAAAAAAAATTTTTTTTTTTCGTGTCATTAGATATCGAACGTGGAAGGAGAGGAATTTTAACACGAAAAAAAAAAAACGTTTTTGAGTTTGTCAAACAAACGTTTCGAACTTTCAATTCGAAAAAAAAAAAAATCAGTTTAAAAATTTTTGTTTTTTTTTTTTATTGGTCAAATTTAACCCTTGAACTTTGAACTTTTATTATTACGACAAAAGGAAATAATTAATTAAATTTTAACCGTTTGACGTATTCGTCTGTAGTTTTTTTTTTTTTTTTTTTTTTTGCTTTTAATTATAATTTAAAATTTTCAAAAACGAAAAAAAAATTTTTGTTTGTTCGGGGGTCACCAATTTTGAATATTCAAATTTTCTTTTTACACGTTGAAATTTTTTTTTTTTAATGAAATAATACAAACCGGAAATGAAGCAACAAAATTAAAGCTTTGTTTTTTTTTTTTTTAGAAATTCGAATGAAGGTAAAACAAAAGTTTTTTTTTTTACTAGTTTTAGTTATCATTCGCGTTAAATTGTAATAAAATATTTGAGGTTGAAATATTTTTAAAAAGGTCAAATGTCACGGGAATGGATCAAATATTTAATAAAATAAAAGAAAATAATTGCAATCGTTTAAAAACGAAACAATACTTGAATTAAAATTTTTTATTTTAAGGCCAATAAATAAAAATCATTTCAAATTTTATCAGACTAGACTAAATCACACTAGACTAGACTAGACTAGACTAGACTAATAAAATTATTTTTACTTTTACGCATGTCGTACGCAAAATTTTTCGTTAAAATTAGTGCAAGTCGTAAATTATTTTCGATTTCCGGTTTTTATTTAATTTTTTTGTTTTATTTACCCGGGAAAAATGCATCATTTCGCAGTAACTTCCCCACCCGATAGCAGGGAGAGTGTGGGATAAAACTCCTTGACGTGTTTCAGCTTCGACCCCACCCTGAGCTAGAACCATCAGGTTCACACTCGCGAAAGTGGGAATCTTACCTGAAAAAGATCCCGGTACTTCCTCCTTTTTTACTCTTTGAGAAACTGTCTGGATCTCTTCCACAGAGTCTGCGAGTTTCCAGAGAGAGAGGGAGAGATGTATGAGGTTGCGAATCCCGTTGATCGTTCATTTGTCTTCCTTTCACATCGCAGGCCCGTATTTTCCCTATTTGAATCAAGTACCCAGTTTCATCCCTTCGAACAAGGGCCGGCGTATCTCCAATGCCTAGAAAAGAATATGCTAAGTCACTTATTCCCTTACCTAGGAACTTTTCTGTTCTTGTTAAGACGAGCTAAAATTGAACTCCCACTCCCAAGATTTAAACACTTTTGGACCGATTTTTCCCCTTTTTGAACTCAACCTAGCTACCTCGGGTTCCCCCAAGGCATCCAAGTTGATGCTTCCAAGAAGTTAGATTACAGAAGTACACCACCACTCCCGGCAACTTAATTTCTCTCTTTAATTTTACCAAATGAGATTTTTCGTATTTTTCTTTATGCCATTGACACGCACACACCACCACCATGCTTTCTACTTTCCTCCCTCCCCCCCCCCGAAAAAAAAAATTAAAAATGCTTTAGTTTAAATTTAACACGTTGCTCTAATCATTCCCGTTTGTTTGTTGGTCTTTTTATTATAATTAAAAAAAAAAAAAAACAGCAACAACAACAGCAGGAAGTTGATCTTGGTGGTGGTAGTGGTAGTGATGATGGTGGTGGTAAAGAATGATCGGCAAAAAATTTTATGACTTATTACCGACACGGAGAAATTATTCAAACCGCGAGAACTCGGCAAAAAACTTTCATTATAATTTTCAAATAGGATGTAGTAGTAGTGGTGCAATTGTGTCGGTTGTTTAGGAGTGCCACCATAATCGCACTTTTACGATTAAAAAAAAACGAACAACCAATAAGAAACGATAAAAATAATTTTTTTTAGGAGCGGTGAAAGACTTTTACCGTTTGTACGGTTGTTTTTTTTTTTTTTTTTACTCATAGGAAAAAGTTTTTTTTGTTTGCTATTCTATCGCGTTCGCAGTTTGTTTATTTGTTTGTTTTTATTTTATTTTTAATTGTTGTTTGTTACACGTTTTTGTTTATTATGTGTCAAAGATTTTATTTATTTGATTAATTTATTATTATTACTGTTATGAGAGAAAAACCAATCGATTCGGAATAATCGTTTATTATTATTATTATTATTATTATTATTTATATAGAAAAAAATGACACCGTTGGAAGTTATTGGATTGCTCAGCGTTTTGTATTTTGGTTGTCACATCGCACTCAAACTAGCAACATTTGTTTATTACAATTGCGTTAAATGTTCGATGAACAAAGATGTTCTTGTCAAGCAAAGAGGAAAATGGGCAGGTGAGTTGATTTTAAAAAATATAATTTTATAAATTTTCAAACGAACCGTCGAACACTCACGCACGCACACGCACGCACGCACGCACAAAAAAATAAAAAATTATTCTCCAGCAATTTCCAGAATGGAGTTCAAATGATGGATGAAATTCGCGGTTTTATTATTTTTTTTACTTTCTCATTTAACTTTCTCTCGATTATTCTTTCGTTCTCGTAGTAATTATTATTATTATCAAAGGTTAAATTTTTTTTTTGAAACTAGTACCCTTGTTTTTTTTTTTGTAAATATTTCTCCAGACGAAATTTTTCGCGGGTTAAAAGCAGAAGACGAAGAAGAAGAGCAAAACTAGTTCGGTTGTCGTCGTCGTCGTTCGTTTGTATTTTTTTTTTGCGTAACGGTTTTTTTTTTTTCTGTAACAAAAACGTGCAAGTCATGAAAGAATGTTAAACTTTATTATTATTATTATTATTATTATTGTAAAAAGGATTCGAATGAAATTTAAAATTATGTAAATAAATAAATAAATTTTTATTTAAAACGTTAAAATTAACGAACCATATATATATATGCACTTAAAAAAACTTTCCAAAAACTTTTTCTATCGTCCTACATTTTTATTTAAACAAAATAATAATAATAATAATAATAGTAAATTGTTTATAATATTATCCATTTATTAAAAAAACAATTAAATTAAGGTGTGATTTATTATTATTATTATTATTGTTGTTGTTGTCGTGTTATGTCATTCCCATAAGAAAATTGTAAAAAAAAAAAATTTGAAATGAAATCCGCGGAACGATTTAAAAAAAAAAAAAAAAATGATTTATGACGTGTTATAATTACGCGTATTAATTACGTCATAAACAAAAAAACTAAACCGAAAATTATTATTATTATTATTATTTTTTCCGTACGGGGAGGGAAATGGAACGGTTAAGGGGAGTAGCCTTATTTATTATATGCACACACAATGATTTAATAATAATTATTTAACCATTAAAAATCAAACAAGCAAACAAACAAACAAACGAACAAACGGTCAACAAACGATAATAAATCACGTCAAATTTGTCTTGCACGCAAAATAGGAGGAAAAAAAAAAAAAAAATTGGTCCGAAACGAATTTTTCTTTTTTTTGCGTGTGCGTGTGCGTGTGTGCGTGTGTTCGATTGGAGAAATAAATGGGTAGAGGAGAAGAACGTAAAATAAATGATAATAATAATAATAATAATAAAAAATAGCAAACTAGATGGAGGCATCCGGACGAAAAAAAAGTGAAAGTTTTATTATTATTATTATTATTAATTTTTTTTTGATTGATAATTGTTTTTTTTTTTTTTTTTTAAACTTCGTAAAATGAAATAGGAAAAAAAACACCGTTATTATTATCATTATTATTATTATCATCATTTATAATTTTTTTTTTTTTTTATTTCAGTCGTGACGGGTGCCACGGATGGAATCGGCAAAGCGTATGCCAACTCGGTGAGTACCTATTGAATTTTCATTTTTAAAAAAAACCTCACGCATTCACATACTCTATGGAATGAAATTATTATTATTGTTGTTGTTGTTTTCAGTTGGGCGAATTGGGAATGAACGTCGTTTTAATAAGTCGAAATATGAATAAACTAAACGAATGCGCTGGAGAAATAGGTAGGTAACGAATTCAACACACTCCCGCCCCCCCCAAAAAAAAGAGGAAAAGTTTTCTTATCGGTGTCCGAATGTGATGAGTTTGTTATCACTGATAACGACCGATGCGACATATCATCATCAATGATAAGAAGAAAAAAAATAAATTAAAATCGGATATTTTTTCGTTTCTTTCTCCAGAAGCTAAATACAACGTGTCGACCAAAGTTATCGCGGTTGATTTCACACAGGATGTATCGATTTACGAAACGATAGAAAATTCATTATCGAATCTGGAAATCGGAGTTTTGGTCAATAATGTCGGTATAAGTTACAGTTATCCAGAAGTTTTCTTAGATATACCCGATAAGTAAGAAAAATGCGATAAGAAAAATTTACGTTATCAGTAGGAATCGTCGTTATCATTATTATCATTAATTTTTTTTTAACAGGGCAAAATTTTTTACGGCTTTGATAAATGCAAACATCGTATCCGTGACGAAAATGTGCGATGTCGTCATGCCGAAAATGGTAGAACGTAAAAATGGCGTCGTTATAAATATATCTTCTGCTTCTGCTCTTCTTCCCTCACCAATGTTGACCGTATACGCAGCGACGAAAGTAAATGATAATTAATTTTAGAAATTGTTACGTGGGGAGAAGGATGGGGGGTCATTTGTCGTCATTGTTTTCATTTTTTTTTGTGTTTTAGCGTTACGTGGAAAAATTTTCCGACGAATTGAGAACGGAATACAAAGACAAAGGACTCGTCATACAAACGGTTTTACCCGGATTTGTTGCGACGAAAATGGCGAAATTGAAAAAATCAAGTTTGTTTGCTCCCTCACCGTCGACGTTTGTACAAAGTGCTTTGTCGAAAGTTGGTGTTCACGATCACACAACCGGTTATTTACCTCACACGATATTCGTATGTATTTAAAAACAATAACAAACGCTTTCGTACAAACACAAAAACAAACCTTTTTCGACTGATTTTTGGCTTCCAGGTGGGTGCGATAAATGCGATTCATTCCGTTTGTCCGGCATTTGCAAATTATTTCGTTATGAATTCTTTGAAAAAAGTCAGAGCGAAAGCGATCGCGAGCAGTAAAAAAAAAGCAGCCATCCAATCGTAAAAAATTAAAATCAAAGGAAAAATGTTTTACGAATCCGCCATTTTCATCTTACGAGAAAATCTCTTTTTTTCGGGAAAGTTTTTATTTCCTCAAAGAAAAGAAAGAAAGTCACGGAGATTTTATTTATAAATAATTATCAAGACTGAAAATATTATCAAATCAAAACAAACTTTTTTTTTTTTTTTAAAATGGCGGATGTGATAACGAAACGATTTCGATCGATCGTTTTTTCCCGGGGGGGAAAATTTAATTAAATTAATTAATTAATTAAGGTTTAGGTAAGGTATTTTAATATTTTTGTTCAAATTTTTTTTTTTTAACTATAATTATTATTATTATGATTGTTGTGTTTTTTTTCTTGTTGAATAAAAAAAAAAAAAAAAAAAAAAAAAAGATTTTAATTTAATTAATTAAATTTTTTAAGGGTAGATTTATTATCTTTTGGAAAAAATTTTTCTCTCTTTTTTATGAAAAAGAAGAAGAAGTGGAAGAAGACTAATTTGTTTAAAAGGTTAAAATTTTTTATTTTATTTACTAGTGATAAATTTATCCGTTTTTCTTTCCTTTAAAAGGAAAAGGAAAGGAAAAAGATTTTAGATATTTTATACGGGAAAAAAGGTTCTTTTATGTATAAAAAGAAAATTTTTTTTTTTTTTACAACTCTTTCTCTCGGGTATAAAAAAAAAATATGGTGTTTGTACCATCGTACACCCTTTCGATATCATCATTATTATCATCATCATCATCATCATCATCATCATCCCTCTTTTATAATGAATAGTTTTCGATTATTATTATTATTCTGATGATGGAATCAAATAACAAAATTTATTTACACAACCGTGATGAACATCATCACTTACACACATTATAAAAGTTTTTAATTTGTATATCCACCCTCCTCCTCCTTCTCTTCTTCCTCTTTCTCCTTCTCCTCCTCTTCCTCCTCCTTTTTCTCTTCCCTCTCGTCCTCCTTCTCGTCCATCTCCTCTGGGGAGTAGAAAAGTAAAGGATTAAAATTTTCAGGTTCACACGTTTTTAATCCAGGTGTGATTTTTAAATAAAAAAAATTTTTTTTTTCCAGAAGGGATTTTATGCGGTTAATCCTGGAATTAAAAAAAAAAAAAATGTCATTTTCGATATAATTTTGTGTGTGTTTACAAATCTTTTCGCACCGTTGATTAAAATGGGGGATTAAAAAAAAGTGATAAGGGGGATGATTATTAGGGTGATTGATAATAATCATACGACTTATTCGAATCAATCTGTTTTAAAAATATTTTAATTATTTATTTTCCGCTGTTGCCACCTACGCTTGTAGTACCGAATTACTCGTACCCACACCCATTTTTTGTGTATTCGTAGAGAGGAAGGTTCTAGAAAAAAAAAATAAATAAATAAGTAAATAAATAAATAAATAAGAATGTGTTATTTGTATACCACCGCTACCACCACCACCACCGTGTGTGACTAATCCTTAAAAGTTAAACTAAATAAATTGAGAGGGTGATGGTGATGGTGATGGCGGTGGTGGTGGTGGTGGGGATGGTGACGGTGGTGGTAATGGTGGTGATAACAAGGCACGTGCTTAAAGGGATATCAAAAATTGTAAAATTAACTTGTCTTTCTCTTTATTTTATTTATTTATGTCTGATAAAAAGGAAGTGTGTCGTAATCATCTTTACGGGATCGGGTTGTTGCTCACGTGAAATGGCACTATTTCCTGTTAATGTTAATAATTCACTCGAGTCAGTCATAAAATTATTTTTTATTTACTTTTGACACGATATTTTCTTTTTTCTTTTTCTTTTTTCTTTTTTTTTTTTTCTTTTGGAAAATCACCAGAAAAGATAAAATTTTAATTCTAACTTTTTTTTCCTCCTCCATAAAAAGAAAAAAAAAAATCAATTTATTATTATTATTAACCGGAGCAAAAAATACAAAATGACGTGCGAAACGAAAAAAAAAATTAATTAAAAATTATAAAGAAAACGCAGTAATAATAATAATAATAATGATAACTATTTTAATAATATTTTCGTGATTTGTAAACGTTAAAATTAAAAAAAAAATTTCAATAAAATTTTTAGCGTCACGAACAACAAAAAAAAGTAAAAAAATTTTAACCGTAACGAAAAAATTATTATTATTATTATTATTTTATTCAACCGGAAATACTATCTATCGTATACCTGATTTAAACGAGCTATAGTTCAAATAAAAACGCTATTTCCGGTTAAATTTTCAATATGGCGAAAAATTCTTTTCTTTTTTTTTTTGCGGTTGGAAAAAAAAAAAAAAGTTTCGTGATTGTTAAGACTAATTTCCCGGTGGTGGTGGTGGTGGCATCCCTAAATGAAAAATAACTCACTCACTCTTTCTCTCTCTCTCTAAGCTGTTGTTCACAATTGGAAATGATCGATGTAATAGGTCTTTATTATTTAAGGGAAGGGTGAAAAATAAAGGAAGGGGTAGCAGAATAAAAAAAAAAGTGTAAGCCCTTGTTTTCAATAAATCTAACTTATTATCTGATTTTAAAATGTAATTATTTATATTTGATAAATTGTTACAACAACAACAACAACAAACGTGATATCAAACACGTTTGAATAAAATAATAACAATCGGTTTTTTTTTTTTTTCTTACCATCAAGTTTGTCGGTTAAAAAAAGAAAAATTCAAAACAACCGGAAGTAGTAGTCGTAGTCGTAGTAGTTGTAGGAATTTTTTTTTTCTTTACGTTCCCAATTCTTAAGTTTATAAAATTAAAAAAAAAATTGAAATGAATAAATAGAAAGAGAGAGAGAGGGGGAAAGAGGAAGAGAGAGAGAGACAAAAACACACACACAAACTTATGCATCACAGCAGGAGTTAAAAAAAAAAAAGGAAAATTTTCGAATGAGAGTCCTTACTTAACGACGATTTCATCATTCATTCCCTTTTTTTTTTCTTCTGCTTCTTTTCTTCTGCTTTTTTTTGCTTCTGCTTAATAATTTCGGTTAGACAAACTCAAACGTTATAGATTTCTAAATATTCTTCTTTTTACAATGCCACTTATATTTATTTTACAACCTTTGGGGAGCACAAAAAAAAAAAGGAAGAAAAAGCGACCGGGGAAAAAAAAAGAAAAATTTATTTTGTTTCTTTCTCCTTTTTTTTTTTTTTTTAATTCAGGGAGGAGAGCTGGGAAGGGGAGCTGGGGAGGAGAGTGAGGGGAAGGAATTTTCTTTAAGGATAATATTATCATTAATTTTTTAAATTTTTTTTTCAGGTATTAAGAAAAAATTTTTGTTTGTTTTTTGTTTCGTAAGTGGTAAGTACTTGGAATTCATTTTTTAAAAAATTTTCTTTTTATTTCGATATCTTGTTTTATTATTATTATCATTATTATTATTTAAACAAAAAAAAAAGGTTCGAGTAATCAATAAATAAAATCATCGATGACAAAGAAAAAAAATTTTTTCACAGAATAATAAAAAGAAAAAAATTTAAGAAAGAAATCCACACTTAAATTAATTGTCATAAAATACAATAAGAAAAGTTTTATTATTATTATTATTATTATTAATTTCCGGTTCATTATTTTTCAAGTGTCGTCATGGTTGTCGTCATCGTCGTTGTCGTCTCAAAGAAAAAATATTTTCTTTTTTTTTTATATTCTTTTACATAAAATGACAATTGAAAGACACTTCTTGTTCTTTCCTTTGATCTTATTATATGGCCGACAACGATTCAACAACAAACCATCATCATCATCATCATCACCATCATCTTGTTCTAGAACTTGTTATAAACGTCACGACCGAACAAAAGAATAAAAAAGAAAAAAAAATTTCTTATTCGGTGCGAACGGTTTATCCATTTTAAAAAACAAGACAATATGGCAAATAAAAAATTTAAACATTAATTTAGAGATTAAAAAAAAAACTGCTGCTACTACCACCATCACTACTACCCCTACCACTACCCTTACTACCACTCCTACTACTAAATCAAACATATTTAATAAAATAACCTCGAGGCGAGTAACCTATTATATGAAAAAACATTCCAGTGTGCAAATATTAAAAAAATGAGGGAAAAGAACCGACAACAAAAAGTAATTTTTAAAAACAATGTTTACAGTTAAACGATCGTAAATCATTTTCTAAACTCCCCATTTCGAAAAAAAAGGATGATGAGGAAAATGAATCCTTATTCATCCCTTATATCATCTTCTGCCACGTTTTACCTCTCTCCTATCATTATTATTAAAGCAATCGAAAAAGGAATGGGTTAAACACGTGAATTATGATAGGAAAACCATCGAAGAAAAATCATACACACGACCATTTACCAGGTATCCAAGTGACGTCAATTCATTCTAGCGTGTGACGTCATTAATCCTGAGAAAATTTTTTTTTTAAAAGGATTTATTATTATTTAAGTTGGGAACAAAAGAAATTCATCATTTTTCGAATAAATATTCGATAATTGAAATTTTTATTATTATTATTATTATTTGTTATAAGAAGAAAAATTGAATTTTAATGGTTGGCGGTGAAATCGTGACCAATTTTCGTGTCAGATGTTATTATTTTTTTCCCTTCTTCCCTTCCCTTCCCCTCCTTCTTCCGCCGCCATCTTTTTCATCAATCTTGTAACTTATTTCTTAGTAATAAAATTGTTTTTATGTCGGGGATTTAAAAAGAGTCTATTAAGAGTTTTTTTTTTTTTTTTTTTAAAAAGAGTTTATTGAGAATTTATTAAAAAGGAAAAATATTTCAGGAGGGGAAAATAAATTTACCAAGGAAACGAGGCGTGAGGAAGGCGGTGGTGATGGCGGCGGCGGCGGCGGTGGAAAACCGGGATACGACTTTATCAATTCCCAATTTTATTTTTTTTTTTTTATACTTTATGGGATGAATTCCTTTTTATAATAATTCTATTAAATTTATTATTATTAGTATTATTATTATTATTATTTCGGGAATGAGAAATCATACTCTCGAAACAAACAA